GTTACCACATCAACCACTCCTGGCACTTTGAGGGCTTCTGATACATCAATTGATCTAGGAAGAAGAATATGAGTGACAGTGCCACAGGGGCTAGTTATAGGAGAAATACTGCAAATATAAATGGTTCTACAAATTTCAGGAAAAAGAAACACAACCTTTTCATATTCTCACCTTACAATGTTATGGAAGTGAGTAGTGAAAAAATAATCAACTGATTTTATGATGTGTTTTAAAGAGGGTAATGGGAACAGGTTAGGAGAAGGAAAAAAAAGCCAGGGACTGGAGTAAAGTAGCTCTTAAAATTTTAGTTCCAGTACATTAACATTTCTAAATTCTCAGAATGCCAAGATATATTTTCTCTCTTCCCCTTTTGTGTTAAGGGCTCTATTCATTTAGGAAAGATGCTGTCCTCTCATCTGCCAGCACCTCACATGAAAGAAATCCTTATCTAATAATGTAAGCCAGCCCAAGGAACAGTAGCAGAACAGATCCTATGCATTTGTTTTCATAGATTTCATAGACCTTAGGGCTGGACAGAACCTTGCGAGCTCGTTGGGTCCAGCCCTCTGTTCAAGGGGCAGGAAGTCAGCTGGGGTTAGATCACCCCAGCAAGAAAAGCATCCAAATGTTTACATAATGTATAGTAGAAATGTTCAGGATTTAAATATATTTTTTTCTGAATTTGTCCATTGTTGACCCAGAATAGTCAATCATACTACAATATACATATTGTTAGGAAAGAATTAGAAAAACCTGAGCATAAATGACCTATTACTATAATCCTTTTCTTACACCTTAAATCTACTTACAAAATTTTTGCATGGGCTCTTGAACTTGTGACCACAGCCAAAAATAGCTCGCCATCCTGATGACGAATGTCATCACAGTAGATAGCTTCACCTGTGGCATGCTTAACTCCAGACTGGTGCATGATAGGACGTCCCACTGGATCTTGTGGAGGCTGCCTTGGGTCTACATCCTATTTAAGAAGAATATGTCATTCTAGAGACATAACACTAACCATAGAATGCCTCATTCTCTAATACATTCTGAAATCATTCGGCCATCAGAAAAGCATGCCCTTAAACTCATGCTGCCCAGAATTTGCAGGTTGGGCATTAATTGGAAAACCAAAGTTCTAAGTAGTAATTCCACTTTTCTTGTTTGTATTACATTGGGCACATTGACACATGCATTAATGCACTTTTCCTAATGTGCATTAAATTTAGTACCTCCAATATGAGGTACTAAATAAATGTGCATTAGGCTGCGCTAATGTACAGTAGCACAAGTGCATGCTTTTTAGGTGATGCTTAATGTGCAGTAGCCTATTCTACTGCGCATTAGCATATTAGCACAGTTTTTTACACTGTGTTTTAATGCACAATAGAATAGGCTACTGTGCATTAAAGTGCACATGTAGATGTGCCCACTGGTGCCTAAAGGCTGAGAACTGGTGCCTAAAGGCTGAGAACAGGACTCTAAAGTGATAGGCACCATATTCATGTACAGTAAAAGACAAGCCCTGTCCTGAAGAGCCTGTAATTTAATCTGTCAAGACAGGTGGGAAAGAAAATGGGATGAAGTGCTTGCACAAATTCAGACTGTAGGTCAGTTGCAGAGCTGGAAAAGGAACCAAGATTTAAGTGCCCTGTCGAGCTTCCTATGCACTGGAGCAAAGCTGTACAGCTTCAGAGCATTGCGGGGGCTGCAAACTGCTTTGGTTATGGGCCCCAGGCCAAACCATGTCAATCACATGCCAGGAGGCACATGCCCTGTGGCTTCTGGGGACCCCTAGCATCCGCAGCCCCCCACTATGTGAGCAGGTCAAGCCAGCCCCTGCCATGTGAGCTCCCTGCTGCTGCCATCATGCAGGTGAGCCCAGCTACCCTTGATGGTGCTGCACAATTAGCCTGAGCCCCCAACTATGCAAGGCCTGCCTCCCCACTCCACCACAGCTGCTGATCCTGTGCAGGAGAGGCCCCTACTCCAAGAGTAGCGTGAGCTCACATCCCACCCCACCTCACCCTCCTCTGCCACTGTCACATGACTGCTCCATCCAAGCCCTGCCCTCCACCTGGTGTTGCTGCATAGGCAACACAAGCCACCCTCTGCCATGCAGGCAATGAGCTTACTGGGCTCACTCTGGCTGTGCCTTCCTGCTCCAGAGTCCCTGGTTGACACTGCAACAGCAGAAGCAGTGCTGGGAATAGCTCCTGGTTGCGAGCTGTGGATTGCATGTTAAACCCTTGCAGGTCCCATCTGGTCTCAAAGGCTGCCAGTTGGACAGCCCTTCACTACAGCATGCTGTCTCCTGCCCCACTGCACAAAGTTACCACCAGCTGTATCTGCCATGGAGCATACTACACATATCCACATACTGGGCAACTGCATAATTTACTTTACACAAAGCCAATCCCAATTTGCTTCTCACTGCTTCCATTAGAACAAACATTTGTTTTCTGCATGCCAGTTAAGTATAAAAAATGTTTGATTACACAGCGCCTTTTAGCCCCACTGTCTGCTTTATGACATCATTGTATTTTGATTAACTACATTGGGGTGGTGAAGGGAAAGCAGTTGCCCAAGGACTGCTGTTAGAAGACTTGAAATTATGGGAGCTACTTAGCTTCAGGGCTGCTGACACCACAGAGATGACATCATTGTACGTGGAATGAGCACTGTTTACATTAAGTTTGGGTAAGCGCACAGCTTTGTTTCAGGCCTGAGACCTTGCATTTAGAGGAGCACACTGGAGTTATATGAAAAAACAGAAACAAGACCTGTATTAAGTGATTGCTTTGGACCAGTCCTGTTAGGATTCCTGAAAGAATGCAGGTCTATGTAGGCTAGCCTAGCAAAAATGACCTCATCAAGGTTTCTGCTCCTTCAGTGCCTGACTACCTTCCTTTCTGCCACTTGCCCTCCCTCCTTCCCGCTTTGATACTCCTTGGTCTCCCACCAGTAATCAGCTTCTTTTCTTTTGCAAACTGTGTGCCTTCTACATCTGAGACTTTTTCTCAGCCCCTCCCCTATACTGTACATCATTTGCTGTGCTTCCTATAATCATAGACCTGAGGAGGAATGTCTTAAATTTGAAAGCTTGATATGCATGTATTTATAACTTTATCCTAACTACGCAGTTGGTCCAAATAAAAGCTATCACCTGAAGAAGTCCATGCCTCTTGCATAATTTCTGGACCATCACAGCTACAACATCACTCTTATACTTCTAATCTAATGGCACTGCAAATGTCCTTAAATGATACACAGTTCTATTGCTCTCTGCTGCTCAACTACTACTGTTTTACTTCAGGCTACCTTGAAACAACCCAGGTGTAAAAGAAAATTAAAGCTTTTCTGTCATAGTTCTTCCTTAACAGAAAATGGAATTTTTGAGTAAATTATTTTTTTCCTTGAAAGTATCTTTTCTTAAAATGATTGTATGATTTGGAAAACTAAAAGCAGCTGTGACTGAATGGTGCTGAAAACTTCTAAAAGTTTTAGTTTGGGGTACTTTTTGTCTTCCTACAAAATTGTTAACTATTCTGGGAGAATCTTTATACAAATAGTAAAATTATCTTGTATTCACATTAAAAAAAAATCAACAAGTTCCATCAGCAGCTCACAACTTTTGAAAAAGGAAAATTTTAGCTTTGACAAGACATAACACAAAACGGTAAATGGAGAATCAGGATAAAAAGCCAGAGGGCAAAATAGTCGTTAAGAAAGAAGGCATGTAGCAGCTCCTATTCATGTCTATCATAGTTTACTATGAAAATAACATCACTAACCTGATATGCTTGTATACTGTGGGGTGTTTTCCACTGAAACTCTTCTACAGCACTCATGAACTCCTTTGGTAGGTCAGGATACCTTGTTGGATCCTGAAAAGAAGGCAATTGCAAAAGAAAAAAAGAAAAAAAAGATGTCAGACCAATTCATTTTCTATTTTGTGTTTTGGAAAAAAAAAGTTTTATTAAAAAAGAGATATTTCCCATTTGCTTCCCCAGCTTGGACACCAATGCTTCTGTGAAATACCTTTGACCTGGAACAGCAATCTACACATGACAGCAACAATCACCCCATTCTGTTATACAGTTTTCTTGCCAAAGCAAGCGTCTTGTAAACTAATGGGACAATTACTAGCACAACAGATAATACTTAAAGTGCAATGGGTCACCAGGGGTTAAAAATAAAACCCATGCCATTAAAAATCGAAGCTGTTCAGATTTAAGTGTTCAGGATAGGGCTGAGGGGGTGAAGACAATGCCACGGTTAGGCTTGAATTAGGCTACCTGACAAATAGGGAGAGAAGCACTGACCATGGCAACCTGGGTTCTTGCTCCAGTGAATACCCAATGATACTTGCAGCAGCATCATGGCGCAGAGGCTTCGGCGCAAAAGACTGGATGAAAGGAACCAATGTTGGATGCATTTAAGGTTGGAATTAAATCTTATGGGCCCACATTTTGGTTTATCTTCTAAGCTTTGGATGCTTGAACACCTGCTGCATCATTGCTCTGGGTGTTTCTCTGCACAATCTCTTAGGGGTCTGACATGCCTATGGGAGGCCCCCCAGCTGGCAGTATCAGACCATTTTACCATATTATCCTCACACTTTCTAGAATTAAGGAAAGCTGTCCATTTGTCTAGGGTTTTATATTGCTGTTTATCACCACAGAACCTGAGTGCACTCTATATAAAGCACTTAGTAGACTTCACAGAACCTCTCATTTCTCCATGTTCAGGGTCATGTTTTTCCTTGTGGCACAGTTTTTATTTCAATTATTTTTCCTTTAGATTGTATTAATTTCATGTTTTTTAATGGGGCTGGCAGGGATTTGTCAGGGGGAGGGACTGTCAAGGACTTGACAGGAAAAAATCAATAGTAGGGCTGGAGCATTGTAGTTGCAATAGTCCAGGAAATACATGAGAAGCAAGAAGAAGTGCTCCATGCAAGTTTTACAGTGCTGTAATTTAGAGCATTTTTTATATCACTATAAAGTAACAGTGCTCTTAAACATGACAGAAGTGTAGCGTTTGATGAAGGGACCTCTGAGCCTCCTTGCACGTTCCAGGCTAGGAGGCAGGGGGGTACTCTGCAGCCTCCTGGGGCTTCTCCATTGGTCAGAAATTTGACCAGTATACAGAAGTTATTTAAAGTGCTGTAGGTTGTTAAAGTGCTGTAAAATACAGCGCTTTAAGTTTAATACCTCATTTAACAAGGGTTAATTTAAAATGCTGTACCCATTTTTGAAATACTGTAAAGCCATGCACGTTAAGTCCTGGCAATAAAGCACTTAAATGGCAAAAAAACAACTTTTGTGCACAAGAGTTTTAGGGCTCAATGCTTTTATTACATTACAGTCTTCTGGTTATATCTGTTTAACTCTCTGGACTCCACAGCTAACAACAATCCTCCTCCTCTGGATTATCTATTTCTCCTGTCCTTTATTTGTTTCAGTGTGGTTGGAATGTTGTAGCTGTGATAGTCTAGGAATACACAAGATGCAAGTTTTCTTTGGTAATATCTTGTATCAGATCAGCTGTATAGTTGGGAGAGAAGTTAGAGAAGCTTTCAGGCACAAAATGCACTTCCTCAGAACCCAGCTTGTGTGCCCGAAAGCTTGTTTAACATCTTTCCCAAGTCCAATGAGGATATTACCAAAGAAACCTTGCTTCTTCATTTGTTTTGGCACTACTTCTGATAACTTCTCTTTGTTCTATATTTTTATAGTACTTCCACTTCCTTAAGTGACTATTTTCACTTATACATTGAAGTTAAACAAAAGTCATTGTTTTATCTGGTATCTAGTTTAAGCTGTCATTGCTTTGTGTCTGAAACTTGCCTAACATCTCTACCACCTATGTAGTTGGTCCAATACAAGACAATATCAGTCTTGCATCTCACATATTCCCTGGGCCATCATGGCCACAACAGCTTACTAGCCCTATCACATGCACAGGAGACAGTTCACCCATCTGCTTGGGAAAATCACTTACCACCATCTTTAAACCATGCAACACTTGCAGGTAGAATTTGAAAAGGAAGCTGACAAGCAGAGTTCTTCTGTATTCCACCTTCCCACCTGGAGCTGAGGGGGAGAGAAAAATTTCGCCAAGCACCAGTCTGCAAGCTTCACCCAGCATCTGCTCATTCCATTGCCTGGGAGACAAACAGACATGCATGCATACATATTTACACTAACCTGTGGCTAACATCACTGTATGTGCAGGTATGCTAAGAAACAAAGTATAACTCATGGGCCTGATCTTGCTGTCCTTTTGTATGGAGTGGAAACTATGTGCCTGTAAAGACTGCAACAATTAACCTGTTAGTATTGAAGATGGTTAACACTTTCATTCTAACATATATCCCAATGAAATCTGGCCAGCACAGACAGTCTTTCATTAATGAAAAAATCAAACAGTGCTTTTACCGGTGTCCTGCTTGGATGATCCACCAGGAAAGGAGAACACTATCTTGGGGGGTTGGGGCTCCATGGAAGACCCCCTGGAAGAGAGTGCCAGGCACTAGGCTGTATTAATGCATTCCTGGGCACCTTGGATACTCCCACTACATTGTCATTGGTGCTTACTTTCTGGAGAGGGTTAGCCAGTTGTGAACCATTGCCCCAGTGGAGGTTGTGCAAGAACTGTACAAAGCTGAGTTCTGCATCTGGATCTCCACCATGCCAGATCTGGATATCTGGCAGAGTCTTGGCTTCACAGAGCCTACAGTATTGTATGTCAGAGTTGTACTAAGTCAGTACCTCCTGATGAGCTTCTGGCAGGATTTCTTTGCACTGACTGTGGTAGAGCCAATGCCTCCATAAAGAATGTTCAGGTCCATAATGATATTTGTGCCTGGTTTGAAAAGCACTCTCATTGCAGAATTCACAATCGACAAGGCGTTCTTCCGGCGCTCTGCCTGTCGGAAGGCTGACACAAAGTCATCCTGAGCAAAAGAGAATTTAACAGAGAGAAATTCCATCACTGGCAGATATGGATCCTCATAAAAGGAAAATAACCCACTGCTGTTGGGTCTTCATTAGTCTCACCTGGACCAAAGAAACAGAAAGAAGTTGCTAAACCAGTATGGGGACTGTATTTCTTTGACACACTAACTACGGAAGGGTTGACATGCCCCAGGAGATGTATCTGAGGTTCACCTACTTACTTACAGACTGACCTGCCAAATCACAGCTTTCCCTCCTGGTATAATGCATTGTTAGAAGCCCCCTGCCCTGTGCCCTCCCTCCCCCCCGCCTGCCCAGAAGTGCTAGGCAATCAACATTGGCCTAAGTCACTTACAATACTGTTGATGCATTAATATTTATGGAAGTGGCTTTCAGCACTGAAGCAGTTTGCAGTGCTGTGCCAAAGGACCTGATGGATTTTTTTTTAACAATCAGATTTCTATATTTCACACTGTAGCACTAGAGCAGCTGGATAATCCACAGTCACTTCTGATGCCAAGATGTTGGAAGCATGGGTTAGAACCATGCCCCCTCCAGACTCAGGGACAGTTCAGACCAAAACTCCACATCCAAACAACCTCCGAATTTTTGAAATCTCAAGCCAAGGTTTGTGATCAGTGTATGATGGAACTAAGACCCATCTCTCAGTTTCTCACATCCCCATGAAATTATGGCTAATACTGAGTACTGTTAGAGGTGGAAGATTATTTTCAGCATACTTTTAGATCATCTTCATGTCCCCTCAGTAACATTCACTCCAGCTGCAAGTAACTGAAAAAAAGCCCAGCAGCAGACAACTGCTATAAGAAACAGTGAAAATACAAGCTATTCAAATAGCAGTTGTGTTTCTACCCACAATGAAACAACCCTCACTCTATGCTTTCTTGCAGATATCTGGATCCTTTTGCTCACACCCAGTGGTGCCCTATGTGGTGATTTCAATAAGAATGACCAAGGACTAGGAGACTATTCAACATGGGGACAGGGGACAGAGTTAGACTCCAAGAAACAGCCATGGATCCATTTTCCTGTGATAAGTCTAATGAAGTTCCTTACACTTTTGGTACTATTACTGGCTGCTTGCTTTAACTATGAAGTGTGAGATATTTTTGAGTCCTCCAGCAATGTGACTGCCCTTCTGTTCCCTGCCCGCAATGTCTTCCACGCTTCTCTGCTCTCAGATTGGAATGGTTCTTTCTGTACTGGTGTAATTAGTTTAGTTACAAAATTTCCAGTGATATACACAGGTTTGGTACTTTTCCTTCCATTCCTCTCTCTGAAAAGACCTGGCTTATATTCTTCCCTCAAATTCTCTTCCAGTACATTAATTTTTTACCATAACTGCTGCTGAGATTCAGAATTTCTGTTGCTACAATCAGCCACAGCTTGTAGAGCAAATACTGATTTATGGAGTCTTGTGATTTTACACTGAATATCAGCAGGAGTGATCCAGACCCCAAAGAGGTCTAGGATCCCCCTGCATGCTGCTGTAGATGCTCAAACTGCAACAATACACAACTACTTTGGTGGAGATGAGGACACCTTACTTTTTATTTTTAATCTTGGGTAGACCCTACAATGTTGACACTGGCAAAGCCCCTTCCTCATCTTATTGTTTCATAGTTTCATAGATGTTAGGGTCGGAAGAGACCTATTAGATCATTGAGCCCGACTCCCTGCTCTGGGCAGGAATGAGTACTGGGGTCAGATGACCCCAGCCAGGTGTCTGCCCAATCTCCTTTTAAACACCTCCAAGGAAAGGGACAGTGCCACCTCCCTTGGAAGCTTATTCCATATTTTGGCAACCCTCACTTTAAATAATTTTTTCCTGATGTCCAATCTGAATTTGCTCTTTCCAGTTTGTGGCCATTATTTCTAGTTACCCTGACAGGCGCCCTGGTAAACATTGTATCCCCTATTTCTTGCTGCCCCCCACTCCCCCCTTTGGTGAGTTTGTAGGCGGCCACGAGATCACCTCTCAGCCTCCTCTTGCGGAGGCTGAAGAGGTTCAGGTCTCCCAATTGGTCCACATAGGGCTTTTTCTGTAGGCCTTTAACCAGATGAGTGGCCCTACTCTGAACTCTCTCCAGGCCATCCACACCCCTCCCAAAGTGTGGCGCCCAAAACTGGATGCAGTACTCCAGGTGTGGCCTAACCAATGCCGCATAGAGGGGAAGTATCACCTCCCTAGATCTTCTTGAACCTCAGCACTCTTAGCTGTCCCTGAATTTTTACTTCAAGTCACTTTTACTTCAGAGGGACACCTGATACTGCTATCCTTGCTGATACAACCATTTGCCCTTCCTGTAACTCAGTAGCATCAAGTTCTGCTACCCTCACTCACAGCAATGAGTATCTGACTCTGTGTATATCCCCACTGAGATTAGTGAATACTTCACCACACAGTGAGGTACTGATCACTGGGTGAGGCTGGCAGGACCTGGCCTTCAGCTGAAGGACATGAGACTGACATTACATCTTCACCAGAAATACTTGGGCACCCTATACTTCTGTACTATGAAGAATGGGGTACCATGGGAAAGAAAAATGAATACAGAAAGCCCCAGACAGCTTAGAACTGTGGACAGACATTGATAGAAATGAGACTCAATTGGGCAAAATACAGGTGGAAGAAAATAGCCTAGCTCCAGAAAGCAGAGGCACGGGAGCGATAGTGAAAGGCCAATTAACCAGGACAACATGATGCCATGTGGCAGCTGGAAAGCCGCAAAAGCAGAGGCTTCATATTTCACAGAGCAAGAGGGATAATTTGAATCATTGAGTGAGCTAGGGCATGAAATTTCTTGACTCCAGTAGAGGTAGAACCTGGTCCAAAGCCCTCTGAAGTTTGTGGAAATTTTCTTTTCAACTTTAGTGGGTTTGGAATTAGACCTTTGAAGACTCAGCCAAAATGTTTTATTAATGTACAAATTACATTTAATATCCTTGTGTTTCTCCACTTGTGTTTTTTTTATGAGGGACAAGGCTCACAGTTGTCAGCATGTTGCTTAAAAGATACTGGAAAATCTTCTTCCTATTGTTTCAGGCTCTGCTCTAGGTCAGGCCTGTCTAACAGAAAGCCCACAGGCCGTATACAGCCTGCAAGGGGTTAAGTTGTAGCCCCTGATGTCTACCCAGCTGTTGCTCCCTCCATCACTCCAGCTACAACAATAGATATAGTCTCAAGGCTCCCCCTCCCTGCTCCAGATTTCACTGCCTGCCTGTGCAGCCTGGGGAGCTGAGGGTGAGCCATGTGGATGCACTGCACAGTGCAGCAGTGCGGCAGGGAGTACCTGCATGGTCCAGCAGTGGGGCACACATGTGAGCATTTGGTGCAGTGAGGGGGAGGTACACTGGTAGTGGGGGGGATTCAGACCCATGTACCAGTGGGTTCCAGCCCAGTACATGGTGTGTAGCCTGGGAGGCCCATAGCTTACCTTGGTGAGGTCCCTGCATATGCAGAGCATTTGGCCCTAGCTGATTAGTAGTTGGACAGCCCTGCTCTAAGCCATGTTTCTTTAAACTCCCTACAGACATGTCACAGTCCTGGATTCAAAGCACATTTAAACTGATGGAGTCCTACCAGTGACTTGAATGGACTTTGAAGCTGGTTCTTCAGGTCCTACCCTGCTCCTCCACACTGGAATTTTGTGCACACTACACATAAAATGGTAATACTATCTGTCCATGTACGGGGAAGATCCTGCAACTCCTCATTCATGGGAGGAGTCCTTGTCTACATGGGTGAGCTCAAAGGGAGTGTGTGACTCAGCATTTGCAGGACCTGAAGGACCCATAAAGAGCATAAACATGGGTGCAACTTAGGTACTAAAGTTTTTGCAGTGCATATGGACACGATTTCTAAGGCAGCGTAACACTGTGCACAACACACAAAGCTAAAAACAGCCCAGGTTGGAAATTAGAGGCCTTACCTTCTTAGAGTATGGGATGAAAACTGACACTATAACCTCTTGTGGCTTAATATCTGCATTTTCAAATCCAGCAAGAAAGTCATCCGATAAAGGAATCTGCCGTTTTCCATCTGTTGGAAAAAATGTAGGTTGTCAGAGAACACGGAGAAACGAAATGTCTTTGCTTTGCAGATTCAGAGTTCATCCAAACCTGAGACCAAAACAGACCAGAGATGCCCTGTATCAATTCTCCAGCATTTTGGGATCTAGGACTGATGCTGCACTGCAGAAGCTTTCCCAGGAATATCAAAACAAAGCTTTTCAAAGAGAAAAAGGGTTCAAATGGGCACTGAATCTTTTTTTCCTAAGAAGCAGAGGGATCAATCGTCTGAATGTATGTATTTTTCTAGTTCTGTTTTGCTGCTCAAAGGCTTTTAGGATATTACAGAATCAAAGCAAAATATGTTTTAAGGTAGAACTTATCCAACTTTATGATGTGAAGGAGACATTTGAGAACATTTTTTATTTAAAACCACTAAAATTAGAGACATTTTCAGAAGCAACTATTGATTAGAAGGGATCAACATACTTTGCAACAGCACAGTGGTGCAGCAGAAGCGTGCTGGACCCATAACCCAGAGGCCAATGGATCAAAACTGTCCTCTGGTAAGTGTTTTTCTTTACTGTCTATAAACTTACTAAGGGGGGCCAGTGGAGAATTGGACAGACCTTGTTTCCCCCTAGCGCCTCCTGGAATAACGGCCATACGTTGTTAGAGAGTAGGTTCAGACTAGACATCAGGAGGCACTACTTCACAGTCAGGGTGGCTAGGATCTGGAACCAACTTCTAAGGGAAGTGGTGCTGGCTCCTACCTTGGGGGTCTTTAAGAGGAAGCTTGATGATTACCTAGCTGGGGTCATTTGAGCCCAGTTTTTTCTCCTGCCCAGGTCAGGGGGTTGGACTAGTAGATCTGCAAGGTCCCTTCCAACCCTATATCTATGAAACATGAGAAGTAAGGATTGATTTATTTCACCTGCTCTCCAACCCAACTCCTAGTGAATCTGATATTCAGAGCTTTTTAAGACAATGAGGCACAGGTTTTCTCAAGACAAGCAAGACATCAGCAGAAAAAGCAACCAATGGCAGGATCTAGGAATCTGTAAGATAAAGCTGGGCTAGCCTGGGATGTGCAGAGCAGTGGGAGGGTGCTGACCCTCAATGACTGCCTTTCTCTTCTCTGCCCGCCAACTCACTTTCATGAGATCGCCTGCTTTGCTTCCTCCTGCAGTATACAGCAGAAAAGATAATAGCAAACTGTGTGATAATACTTTTTGCCAGGGACACTCATAGGAATCATTTTCTCCTGCATCTGTCAACATGAATCAAAAAAGCCTCTCTCAGACCCATTGCCTGTATTGGTCATTGTCATTCTGTGCTATGCAGTGTTGCTCTACACATTTAGCCCAGGTCCCTAACACAGATATTCTACATCTTACCTTTTGATGCCAGGTTGAGAATAGAGTTGCCAACTGCCAGGACAGGGTTCAGATCCCACGTTGATCCTCTACTAACAATGTGTCCCCCTAAAGACTTTTACAAATAGAGAGATTATTTTCATGGCTCTCTTTCCCATACAGAACAGTATGAACCTATAACATGACCCTACTTTCACAGCTATTGGAAATTTAAGGGACCTTATTTCAAGTTAAAGAGCTGGAAATAGCTTGTTCAGTCTTGATTGATGTTTCCCATTCCTGACACATACCCAAAGTGTCCTGGGTAGTTCCTGCACAAAGGACCCTTCCTGAGCCTGAGACGAAGGTCACAAAGGAGTGGAACAAAGAAGGTTAGAAGAAAATGACAAGGGCTGGGGACAGGGAAGCCTGGGGAAATGTCTTGGTCACCTAAGCACACATGTATATTGAATACATACAGCAGAATTCAAATGCTACCTACTGGACCAGCAAAGTGCAGCTTGAGAGTTGCCCAATTCAAATGTAGGAGCAATATTATTACCTCTTCTCGGAGTGTAAATTCCCCCTTTATGTGAATCAGAAGATTTCTGCATGTCTCCAGAGGATGTTCCTATAACTATAACAGGGACACATTCCTGCCTAGAGGAAATATGATCACTCCTGCACTTTAGTTGGTAAGTCACAACTGGTCACAACCTGCACTCTGGTCATCCATTCACCACTAGATAAAATAGAATTCTGCCCATAGAACATAGGTAGTTGCAGTGCAAACCCTGGCATCCTACTGTACCAACAGGTCATTCTGGAGGGAGAGTGAGAACTCCGTCTCATACCCATTCAATCCTTGGATTCCCAGCCAACATGGTTATCAACTGCAGGGCTCACTACAGCTACATAGACACCTCTTCCTTGGTGTTTGGACTGCCACCCCCAATTTATTTCACATAAGCTTATCATACAATAATAACTTTGAATCCTTATCAATGCAGGCTGTCTTCCACTAGATGGATAAGTGGACACACCTAATTTGATATTCCTGGTCAAGACCCAGGACCACTCTCCACTAAATAAGCGTTATTATTCTGCAAGGAAATGACACACTAATATGCTTGTGGTATTGGCCTATCCACTGTCAAAATTGAAAACATACAGCCACACTCCTGATCTGTTCTCCAGCCAGAGTTTTCAGCTGCTGCAAGAGAGCATGGAAGATCTTTGTCTTCTCCTCTGGGAGCTTCAATACCACTTCTCTCAGGATGTCTCTGAGCTGAGCCAGTCCGCAGGCAGCTCCTATCACTAGTCCTGGAACAAAATATTTGAAGCAGTTGAATGAGAGCATCACCATACTTCAAAATGATCTCAACTGTACAATTGGCCCATGTGAACTGTTTTCCTGGCAAAACATCCTATACTGATGAGAGTCAAGGGGTCTTATCTCTTCTAGTATCTAATATCACATTACCCAAGTTAATCCCATCATTACCATTAAGAGAACTGTTATAAGTTGAATAAGGAACTCACCATTAGCAGTGCTACTCACATCATGCAGATCTGGAATCATGGTGGGATAGAGGATAATGGGATGATGAACACCAGCAAATTTCATATCAAGCCCTGAAGGATGGAGAATTATGCTGAGAATAAGGAAACTAAAGCCGGCTATGTCAGGTTCCTAGAACTGTGGGTCTATAATATGATGGATGCATTCCAAGAACTCATTATTACCATCAGCTTTCCTGCTTTGGGGGCTACCAATGTCTTGGGCACATTGGATTCCTTTTCCTTTATTCCTCCAGTGCAAGACCCTGTTGGTTCTTTCTGCTACGAATCTCAAACTCTCTGTCCTTCTGCCTTTTCCATGATATCCTTAATTTCTTTCCTTGATTATAGCAATTTCTTCTCTGCACTCCTTGCTTTCCCCGCCACATCCCTGAGAATGTGGGATGACAACATATGACAGCAGAATTATTTTCATGGCTCTGCATAGCTTCTTGGCTTCCTGAATCAACTTCCTGCTTCCTTCCATGTTATGCATAGAGTCTTCATCTTACATCAGAAGCCTCATTCAACGAAACCCACTGCTATCTTATCCCTACCCATCGTTAAACTTTGCCTCTATCTTTCACTACACCAAGTCATCCCATCTTATGCTCTTTGTGTCTCCATGGAAAATTCCAGCACCACCTCTTGGGTCTGGAACATGCATCACTGACCTACCACCTAACATATATTTAAAAAGCAGCAAATAAGATGTGTGTATGTAGCTATAAATTTACCATGATTTCTCAGTGCTATAATCTTTAGTCTCTGTGCCCTAGCTCCCATTGCTATATCAAGCCTCATTTAGGCCCTGATCCAATGCCAACAGAAATCAATAGTGAAAATCTCACTGAGTTTAGTAGGTACTGCACCAAGCCTTTAGATGCACTATCAGCACCAAAGTGTTTGCCATTCTAGCTGTTTGCAAAATCCCAGGCACCTCAGGGCATAATATTAGCCAATAAATAACAACACAGGCAAGTTTCTACCATCTGAGCATAGATCTGAGAATTGGGGTCTCTCTACATCTTCTTACAGTCAATGTACATGGCTGTGTACATGGCTACCCAAAGAATAGCTTAGGATCACAGTGGAATTCCCTACAGAGAGAGAAATAATAATAATCCCTGTGAGAAGGAACACTTGGACCCTCCATACCAACACTGGTGTTCCCCACAACGACAGGTGCTTTGGGGTACTTGGCCTTGAGCTCCAGAAGCTCTCTCAGGCTGCTGGGAGAAATCCACGTAGTTCTTTCCCCCCGGAAAACCAGAGTTCTTTTCTGCTGCTCCTGAGCCATTCTCTGTAGTGGAAATGATACAGATTTAGGGCTTCAGATGAATGCTAATATAAAGGCATCTGTAAAGGAGTATAAAGCAGAACAAAACATTGTATAACAAAAGATAATAACACCTTGCAGTTAAATAGCATTTTTACTTGCAATTCTTACAGTGCCTTATAATAGTGTCCTTAATTATGTACATGTTTTCAACAGGGGAATTGAGGTACAAAGTGATTAAGTCAATTGCCTGACTCAGTACAACAACCTAGTTGTAAAAGAGGTCTACAATGAAAGTCTCTTGTCTGTCAGTCTCTTGTGCTACCACTAGGAAAGCTCCTCCTCTGAATGGGTGTTCAGTAACTAACCAAAGCAAAGTAATTTTCCTTTAAATACTGAGGCTTCATCATCTTCTCTACAAAGGTATTAACATTCTCCTAGAATTTTTGCTTAGTCAAGGCACAGCTCTGACTGAAGCTATCCATCCCAGACTTTGGTACATTTCAGTATGGATTTAGTTTCCAGAATAACCAGTTGCAATATCTGGGACACTTCTGGTTGCAAGGAGATTCTCCTCTGAAAAGTGACAGTGTGTAAACAGCACTGCCTTACTCACTTGATCATCTGCCTGTTTGTATTTGAAGACACATCTGACTATCCTCCTTCTGCTGTCTACTCCTGAGAAGTCAGAGGAGCCAACACAGCTAAGAGGGAGTTAGTAGGATTTTAGCCTTTCTGCACATCCTCCACAGCACTGTTTCAAATCAGTTTTGCCTGAGCTATTTCCTTGAGCATGTGCAGCTGTAACTGGAGATGCAATCTGAAATCTGGGTGGTTTTGCAGGGAAAGTGAAGGCTTAGTTTACAAGACAATTCCCAAAAGCAAACCTCTAAATACCATTTTCTAGCCATCAGTGGAGGGAGGGAATATAACACTATATAACACTCAGTATAACACTAGTGAACAGGAGAACAGGAGTGTGTCTGTCAAAATCTGGATTCTATAGGGAAACAGAATCTCTTGCCCAGGAGCCCAAATTTCACCTGACATGTGAAAGAAAACAAGTAGTGGGACACTGTCAGAGACTGTCACTGCATCCCCTTCTGCTGAGGACCAGATACTTGCTGTTCTGATATCAGCTGCTCTTTACAGCAGTGATGCCAAAGGGTAAACTATATTGATGCACAAGTGACGGAAGTGTGCTGTGAGATCCTCCATGTGAGAAGGTAAATGTTCTCCTCCCCTTTCTGGCACCCTGTACGTTCCCCAGCTACTCCAGCAAAACCTGTGACTGCTTCTCTGTGGGTTGCCATCATGACTGCTGCCCTTCCCTGCACCCAGGCAGCCCCTGTACCAGGCCTCTCACCTGCTCCCCATGTTTCCAGCAATACATTCTGCTGAGAGTGGGCAGGTGTGCAGATGCAGAGAGATGCTTTGCAGCCTGGCTCATCCCCTCCACTCCTCTCATATTCCCAGGGCTGGCAGGAGGGGCTGTGGGATGGTTGCCTGTGTGAGAGAACCTGTAATAGCACCCCCAACAGGGGGGCTGCCCCTGCCCTGAGGTACAGGCAGGGGACAGACAGTGGAAAGAGCTGGGCACAGCAGGGGGAGCTTCACCTCTGTTAAGTGGCATCAGATAGATCAATTATTCTCAACTTTTTTAGCCTCAAGGCCCTCCTACATATCTTTTCTGAATTTAGAGGTAACACAGTTCAGGCAAATTATGGAATGGTGCCTTGAGGCTAGAAAGGTTGAGGACCACTGGTATTGAGGCTTATCCTTTGCTTCAAGAAAGATGTATTTGGTGTCATTGTTTTTAAAAAGGGCATCTCAGCACTGGTATGATTCCCTCTGGCAAAGGAAAGGAATATGTTATATGTTTTGGGAAAATACACACACACACATATACACCCCTTTGGGTGTAAGAATGAAGTGTGCTGACAATTTTAATCCAGAACAGAAGTGTGCCCCAGGTATCAACAATTTGGGAAACAATGCTGTACATGATGTGAACATTTTTTTAAAGAAAAACAGCTAGTGTCCCTGCTTATTTACTGCTGGGGCACAAGCCAATCTGTTTGCAAAACTTGAGTCATTAATGCGCACTTGCCACTCTCTGATAAAAACTGCATTTCATAGATGCCCTCATCTTTCACAAGGTCAAATGCATTCTCTTTTCTGCAATTAAAGAACCTGTTCCTGTCCCCTTACATAGCAAGGTTGCCTGCAGCTGATATGTTGCCTTCAAGATCTACAATAATGTTTTCCTAAAACAGCTGCTTCTTTGAACAGTGCAACTTGGTAACAACAAAACCAAATGAATCCTGCATGGCACAGGACTTCTGCAACTAGTACAAGGCCTGGATTGTTTGGCTTCCACAAGAATTAGGAGCTACTGGCTTGATACACAGTTCGTTATCTCAGTGTTGTGTCCACTCCTGCATCCAGTGTGGAATCTGCCATTCATAGTTATAGTCCAGGGCTTCAGCCAAATAAAGCTTATTAGCTAAGAGGCTATAATCTCCAGAAACACTGCCTGAACCACTGCTTAAGGAAATCCATGAACAGCTTTGAACTGAATTAACTGGGGACTGAAGCAGGTCCTCAGCTGAGTCACAAAGAATTGTTTAATGTACTGCATTAGTACCATAGGAACATGTCCCTTCAAATGGAAACTCAAACAGCAACATGTGGGATAAGGTGAGGGTAACAATACTACTTCCTGGCTTGGTTAGGAATTTTCTGAGCAAGGATCCAAACTGAAGAAGCTATCAAAGGCCTTTAATCAAACTGCAAGAATTGACTGTGACAGTCTCATTTTTAGAGTGCCCCACTTAATGCCACCACTCCTAAAGCATATCGTTTTCAAAAGGAAGATGGGGGAGCAGGAGCATTCCCTACAGTCCACCTTAAGGACATGTGAGTGGCTCTTACCTCAATCTTTGCTCTAGCTGGCAATTATTAAACAAATTGATTAAACATGGGTGAACTGATCTACAAATCAAACCATTCTGGCAAAGCTCACATGACTCCCTGATGACGTGTAACCAATCAACTTCCAGGCTCTCAAGCCCAACAAGAACACCAGTTTATAGCTCCTGCAGGCAGCCGCAGTACTGTCAGGAGCAGGGTGTGCGTATGTGTGTGTGCGAGTGCTGACCAAAGGTTGGCAACCACCCTCAGATGCTGCCAGCAATGTCAGTGGTGGCCAGTGGCAATCGCGGACTGCTCGCAGATGCCGCCGGCAGTGTCGGGGGCGATGTGGGGGTGGGGTGGGGCGGTGGCAAGCGGCGAATGGCAAGCGGCAGTGTTGGTGGCACCTTTTCGTAGGGGGGTGCACCGCCATGATCAGGGGGTGCACATGCACCTGTGTGCACCCCTACGCATTGCCAATGTGCCAAGCTAAAGTTCTGCCCATTCTCTCAACTAAACCAAACTAATGCTGACTGTTTGTACCTGCTCAGTTTGACAGAAGTGGGGACACTTCTCCCTCAAATTCCCAGCTCCCTCCTTTCCACAGTCTACCAAGCTCCCAGGACAGCAATCACGTCTTTTCTCCTGGCTTCCTTCCCCTGTGAGGCTTCAAGTACTTTTACTCCCACTTTCATTATCCTCCAATAAGCTGCCTGCACCTCCTCCTCCTCTCCTCTCACTACACCTACCACAATACCACCAGGTCCCCTACCCTTAAGCTTGGACCTGCAACAAATTAGACCCTAGTAGCTCAAGAACCAGACATAGGTGACAAGGGGGCATCTCATTGGTGAGAAAAAACAATGGAGCATAATTCTGTGGTCGTTAGAACCCAGAGGAAAAGAGGGAAGGAGCAGCTCATGAGACCTGGCTGGACATTTTCCAAATGAATTTTTTTTTTAACAAACATGCCTAGTTGAAAAGGTCCAGTCTTGGGATGTCAAACAACTCCTTGGCTTCAAGATTTAAGCTAATTATAGTAAACTGAAACCATCAAAGTTGAATAATCACATTTTGATTGACCCAAACCAGAAATCTTCTCAGATTCCCAATTAGCAAACATTTTGGGGTTTCTGACTTTTTACCTTGATTTGGGATGGGAATTTTTTCTGATATCTCAAAAATTTTCTTGGAAGTTAAAAAAACTTTCCCTGCCCACTTCTATGGCTACCTGCCCCCACATCCAGCAGCACATCCAGCAGCTTCTACCCTGCCCCCACATGCAGCCTCACAGCAGCCCATCTCCTGCCATACCTCACAGCTCAGCTCTAAGGAGAGATGGTGTTTTGAGAGGCTCTGCACTGGAATTCAGACTCGCTCTGTCTCTAGAGACCTATATTTTGGCCTTCAAAACAGATAAAATGATGTGAATTAAATTGAGTGGATCAAAGAAACTTGTGTTTAGATCAGTGATTCTCAACCAGAGTGCCACAGTACTCTGGATTTCTTTGAGATCCTTTCAAGAGTACCGCAGAGTGCCATACAAAGTGAGCACCAGTAAGTTTACAAACTTGATTTCACATGATAAATCCCAGAAATTTCAAACAGAAATACGTAGGCTGTGGTCTTTCTGTTGTCTTTGAAATAGAAAAACTGCTCTATTCTTTTTCTGTAGGCAAAAGAATGAAAACTAAGAGTTGACAATTTCCAAGCAGGGCCTCCAGTCTATCCAGGAGTGCCTTGAGCCAAAAAAGATTGAGACCCACTGAGACAGAGGTTGAGATTAGGGCTGTGCAAAGCTTTGGACCCTGATTCAATTTGGCAGAGATTTGGCCTGATTCAGTGGCCAAATCTCCGAATCCGAATCAAATCAGAGGATCCTTTAATCTCTCCAAATGGAATCAAAACCCTCCAAATCGATTCAGAGAGATTCGGAAAGATTTGGAGATTCAGACAGAGAGACAGTTTGAATGTTTTTTCTATGTACCTCTAGGTAGCAGGGGCTTGTGAATGCTGTGATGTTGGGGCACATGGAGTGTCTCACAGAAACACGGGGGCTCCCCAGTGTGCTCGGCAGCAGACCCAGAAGCAGAGCAGAAGCACTTCCAGGTCTGCCAGGGACCGCACAGGCCCGCCCCCCTCCCCAGCTTGGTGATTGGTGCCTCCTGGATCTCGGGGGGACACCTGGGGTACCCCTGTGGCCAATTGCCAAGCTGGGGAGGCAAGGGGGGGGGCCTCAGCACGCTCCGCAGCAGACCCAGAAGTGGCCCAGAAGTACTTCCGGTCTACTTCCAGGTTCGCCACTGAGCATGTGGAGGGCCCCCCCCCCCCCCCCCTCTGGGAGGCTCCTTGGGGCCCCACATTCACGAGCCATGCCAGCTACCTCAAGGTACATAGAAAAAACTTTTAAAGCTGCGTCTATGTCCAAATTGCTGATTCTCCAAATCAGCATCGAATCTTCAAATTCAGATTCGGCCGAATCGAATCAGGGACAGTGATCCAAATCAATGGATCGAATCACTGTCCCTGATTCCAGCCAAATCTGAATCCAAATCGAATAGGGCCCAATTCACACACCCCTAGTTGAGATCTGCGTATGACAAATTTCAGCCCAGAATTTGTACTGTAGAAAATGGCACTCTTAGGATGACATTGGTCCACACATTGTTTCCATAACAAGTTTCTATATATATATACATTTAAAGCAAGAAGTCAGGAAAGGGTAATGCTTCCTACCATAAGTTCTGGAGGAAAAATAAACTCCTGGCTTGGGTCCATGGGCTGAAACTCTTTTGGATTGCAGAGGTTTGAACACATCTAAGAAAAAAATAATTTTATTTTACTATTTTCCAAAGTAAGTCCAGGGACAGATTTTATCTTTGTAGCATTATACACACCCTTGAAGAGTTACAAAATCAAAGGAAAGACGTGCATACATCCTGTGTGCTACAGAAATGATGGAAGCATTCCCGGGTGAGACGGGAACTTTTCTGTAGCATTACTTTTGTAACACCACATGCAACATCTGTCCTGTGCACCATAATTCTACAGGAGGTCTCTTATGCCTTGGTAAGCTTCATATCTGGGCAAGCTTCAGGGGTTCAAAAACCTTCCCCCCAGATACTTGAATCTAAGATGGGGGGCTTCCCCTCATATGAATGAAGGAAAAGATCTTGTCTTGGATGCAAGTAAATATGGTGAATCTAATTTGGGTAAATATCTGTGTATGATGAATAATGTCCCCAAAATGAATCACTGCAACTGGGGGTACCCACAACACCTACAAACTTTACAATATATCTGGAAGTAATTCAAACCTCTGCATCTTACCCCATCTCCCTTATCAGAAGATGCATGCACACCTTCTTGATCCAGGCAGCACTGTCTTGTTCCTCTCAGCTGGCAGCAGGTGGGTTCCTAAAGAAATCATATACCACTATGTCATCCTAATGAAACTGCTTCAGGGGAATGGGATTTCTTCTTAAATACATTTTGATTGTACCTGTGCACAAGTCACCGTGCACTACAGGAGTTAGGGGCCCAGACCAGTTCTGCTTGAAGTCAATAAGAAAATTCTAAATGCATGTAGTAACTCCAGATAAGAGCAGTGAAACTGGATGGGAACTGTACAAGGGATTACTGGGTGAATTAGAGGAGTACTAGCTGGAAATAGCCAGATATGGGGAGGTTTTATGAGGACCACTAGACTGATGCCTGACTTATCCTTTTCATTTGTGTCTATTCTTCTCCTGGGACTAAACCTCATGGCTTTTGAAATGACCACAGAATGGCTCAAGCTAATTGATGAGGCCCAGCTTTCTGTTTTGGGTTGGGATCTTCCACTCAGGGAAGGACCATGTAGGGTTTTTCTGTGCCACTTTCTACTCAGTGCACTGAGTAGCCCAGTTTGCAAGGCAGGCTGGGGTGGAGATATTATCAGGGAAATATCAGCTATCTGGGATGTAAAGATAACCAGTAGATCCGGGTATATGTAGGGATCTGTGACTATGCTGAACTGCAAAATCAATTGGGTGGAAAATCAAAATCGGATATTGTTCAGTTGTCTTCCCTTTGCACAAGTTTCAATCAGCAAATAAAAAGTGCAAGACTGGACTGACTGAATAGCAAGTCTGCATGGTTATATTCTTAGTGGCTCTGACATAAAGCAGACTACCACACAGGCTGCCTGTAACTTTGCCTATACCTGTTATCAGATGATAATCACAGAGTTTCATCATGGATCAGTCTTATAGGATTTCTGCAGTTGTGCCAGACTTCTGGGGCAGGGGTTAAATCTGTTTATTGGTAAGTGAGCAACTTGGCCAACAGTGCTGCAAAGTCTTAAACATATACTGAACATTTAAAGTGAGGCCACACTTCAAACTTGGCATAAACAGGATCCTATTTATGAGAGGACTCTGCTTAGGAGAGACTAATAAAGGGAATCATTATCATAGTGACCTTCACCTGCAAAAACAATCATGCACTTTGTACGCCACAATTTTCAGGTACCCAACCTGAGCCACCTACCTCTCAATATGTGAACATCCAAAACTGAAAGCAGTGGGAATGGACAGTACCCAACAACTCCAAAAATCAGACCCTAAACCTCTCCTATGGGGCCATATTTTCACATGATTTTCCAAAAATCAGCCAAGTATATAACATTGGGGCAAGATTTTCACATGGGCTCCACATCTAATATGGCACAAGGGCCAGGTGTTCCAACATGCCCAGCACCCAGCTGCTCCCATTAGAACACCTGGAGTCAGATTTTTGACAGCCCAGCTCCAAAGATGTACCCAGGTTTTCATAAATTGGCTCTTGTTGAGCTCCTACAAGCTGAGTTCTCATAAGAGGTGGACCCTTTTGAGAAAGGCTGACCAACGTGCCTATTTATTTTCTTCTACCTACCCCAGCAAAAGACTTGTAGCTGTCTATTATTGGCCTGTATCCAGTGCAACGGCACAAATTACCTGAAATAAGCAATACAGTAATTAATCAGAAGCACCAGTGCAATTGGAAATGACTGTGAAACACCGCCCACCCTGCAATATACAAACCCCTGTGCTCTGGAGTGGATCCAAATCCAGACCTAGCTCCTGCTTCTCCAGTGGGACAAACCAAAATTGCAGAAAAGTCATGTGGATCTGCAGTGGCAGTCTTACTCTCTCCCTCCCTCACCGTCGTGGGAAAGTATTATTATTATAACCTGTTTTTTATGTTTGGAAGATAAACCCTGAAAAATTCCCGGAAAATTAAAAAAAAAAAAAAATGCAGAACACTACACATATTATTAGTGTGGCCCTGCCCTCTATTAGGTGGAGCCAGACTAAGTTGCCCTGCACCTCATCTACATATACACAGTACATAAGCGGTGCTTAAACGTGTGTTTATGGAGTAATTTTCCTATACGCAGATTACTACAGGTATGTTTATTTCAAAGTTGGTGTTTTCAGATTTGCCTATCACTTCTATATACTCAGGGAGAGTAGGATCTGACAGTAAGGAGGGGGGAGAGGAGAGGTTACAGGTGGAAGAAGCTGGGGTGGCAGAGGGTAAGGGGGCCACCTGACCCCCAGATTTATTTTCCCTGCTAAAGTAGTGGGAGGGGCATAAATTCAAGGCAAACCTCCAATAATTAGATTCTATACCTGGAAAATTATAAATGATAAGTATTATAATTTCATTATAATATGGAAAAATATAATTTTTTCCATATACAGACTTTAATTATTGGGGGGGTCATCTTATATTCAAGGAAATATGGTAAATCCAAACCATCTGTTTTGGCAGTTGATACCTATCACTGAAGTGTCCACCCACCTTCCCTGTAAAGTCAAAAGAAAATCCCTAGAGGCGTTCATGGAGTGGTTGTTGTGTTCCGTTACCACTAACAAAATCTCTACTGGGATGGGGTGAAAGCAGTGGCTCTGGCAAGGTGTGCAATACTCTGCGTTACATAAATAGCTTGACTTGTAAATGTCAGTTATGGTGAACAGGCTTTCTCAAGGGGAACCTAACCTTGTACTGCCTGGTAACTGCCTACAGAAATCCATAACCTAGAGCAGGGCTGTCCAGCTGGTGGCCTACGGCTCCCATGTAGCCACTGTGCCCCCATCACTGCAGCTACAGCAGCAGCTGGGGGCTCTGGGATCTCCCTCCTTTCTCTGGCTACCATTTCCTGTCCCCACCCAAGGTGGTGAGGTGGTGCAGCCTGTGAGTCTGGGTGAGCCCACAGCTTGTACCTTCTATTAGTGACTTTGGAAAAGCAAACCTACCATCCAGAGCTGCAGTTATCTGCTCCATGGAGGGCTCTGGGTGGTTTCTCAGCAAAGCGTACATGGACATCACCATTCCAGGGGTGCAGAAGCCACATTGAGAGCCATGGCACTTGGCCAGCCTTTCCTGGAATGAAACAGAACAGCAGACTCTGCCTTCAAAGCCTGGCTTCATTAACTTGCCTGGTAGCAATACTCAGTACTTCCTTTTATGTAGCATTTGGAAAATCACAGCCTGGCCATTGAGAACCCAGAACACGGGGTGCAGGCACCTTAGGAAAGGGCCAGGGTTGGCGCTCGCTTTTACCCAGGCAAGTCTACAGAAGTTGATGGGGTTCCTTGGTCTAAGTACAGCAAGCAGAACAAGGCACAGGGCCTCTTCAGGTTAGGGACTGGCCTCACTGCAAATGGGGGAACTCTATAGCAGGAGACCCCTACCCCACCTACTAGGAGTGAGAGAGTGCAATGCCACAGAGAGGCTAGCTGCAGGGCAGTCACTCTGTTACTACAGGAGAGAGGCAGCAGGTAAGGAGAGGTAAAGTAGCAGGCCAGAGCAATAAGCCTGTTAATAAGGGTGGAAGAGGAAACCCGAGCCTGGCCCTGAAGACCAGCAGTCAGGTGACCAGAGGGGGGAGGAGGAAGGGCTATATAAGCCTAGCCCAGGACCAGAGGCTCAGACTGGCCCTGACTCTGAAGAGAGAAGGAGCTGGGGAATACCTTCTCAAGAAATGTATTTGTTGAACTGAGTTGTTTATAGCCTGACTAGCAATTCTGGGTGGTTAAGAAGCCACAGGCAGGGTGCCTGGGAGACTCTTTGTATCAAGAAAGGCTA